CTAGTGAGCATGTACCATCTGTACCTGTTGTGGAAGGTTTTTCAAGTGTCTCCAATAAACTTCTCAATTTTTCAATTCCTTGTGAAAACCTAGTGTCAGATCACGCGAACCAGAACCTCTTTCATCATGTGATTGAGTGCTCGCAACATGTGCTTGCCCCCTGTCATTAGCAGTCCGGTTGGGTCTCCCGTGAAGCTTCCAGCATCGGTCCCTGGTATGGCGGTGTTTTTTGCAGTATGTGCAAAACAGTGAGTCCCTATCCCTATTGGCGGATTTGGACTGATTGGCAGGAACAAATGGTGAAATATGGATGGTTTCCTTCCCTTCATTAGCCTTCACAACTTTGGACACCATGGCAGATCCGTCTCCTCCATCTGTCTCCAACATAACACTTCTTCTTCCTTCCTCTCCACGGATAATTGAAATGGTTTCGTTTAATGACAACAATTCTGGTTTCCCCAAAATCTGCACTCTGACCACATCAAAGTCAACATTGAGACCGGCAAGGAAGTCATAGATACGTTCCTTCTCAACAAATCGCTTTAAAATCGCTGCATCCTCACTACAACGCATCTGAATGCATTGATAGTGATCCATTTCCTGCCACAGGCCTTGTAAAAAACTTGAATATTCTGTGACAGTCCGTGTACCTTGTCTGGCTGCATGAATCTTTGTCTTAACTTCATAGATTGGAGCAGCATCATTGACATTGGAATATGTTTGTCGGATAGCATCCCAAATTTCCTTGGCGGATCCGAGAAACATGCACGTATCGCTTATCTCTGGTAGCATCGAATTCCATAACCAAGACATCACCATCGAATCTTGTTCATCCCACGCAGCAAACTTCGGATCGTCCTTTGAAGGACCCATGCCTAGTAAGTGGCATAATTTTCCCCGTCCCTTCAAGAACGTCCGAACAAGCTGTGACCATTTCAAATAATTCTTTCCGTTCAGTTGATATGCTGCCTGAATATTTTGTAGGTCTCCAGGCTGGACAACGGCTACACTCTCTGTTACTGGAGTGCCCGATGTTGCTGTGGTTTCCGCAGACTCAGACATGGTTAATAGATCGACTAGAAAGAAGAGAGAATGGACGAATGGAATGAAAAGAGGAATAAAGGATTTCAGCAGAAACAAGAGAGATTCCAGCGGCAAAACAGAGGAACAGAGGAGATTTCAGCAGGCAGAAACGAGGCTGAGGAACAATGCTGAAATCGCAGATTAAAGGAGGCTGACAGAGAATGAAAGGGCCGGAAAAAAACAACCCAGAAAAAAGCCTAAAGCTCTGATACCATGAGGAAAAACAAATGAGAGAATAGCTTATTCATTGATACCGAATTAGGTTACAACAGGAGGTATAAATACAAATATGAGAGCCAAAGAATCAGCAAAAGAATCTCCTAAAAATCTGAAAATAACCACCAGAATATACAGCTATCTAAATCTCCTAAGAATCAGGAAACTAACAAATAATATTCTATAATAAAACTTTCCCAAAATAACCCACATAATCCGACATTCACTCTCAAACAATTCTGAGATGTTTTCCGAGCTAGAGTAGGTTTCCCTCACTGCATCCCATATCTCCTTTGCAGACCTGTATAGGAGAAAATTTTCTCCTATTTCGTTATTCATAGAATTGATCAACCATGACATGATCATGTGGTTTTCTGTCTTCCATGTTCTGTATTTAGGGTCCATTTTTTCTGGAATTGCAATCTCACCAGTGAGATATTCATCTTTGCCTTTACCACAAATAAACATCATCACTGATTGTGACCATTGTAGGTAATTGTGGCCATTGAGTTTGTGTCTGGTAATGAGAGTTATTGTGTTTTCTGGTCCTCCATGGGAATTGGTTGTGGATGAAACTTCAGTGGTGGAACTATCTGCCGAGGTTGAGGTAGACTTCTCTGTTGCCATGCCGTATTTAGTCATTCAGGGAAAAAACAAAAATAAAAAACGGCGATGTGAAGTCTAGAGAAAAAGAGGAATAGATCGATCCCTAATCGTGAGAATAAGGGAGCAGAATACGAGGATAAGGCCAAGAGAATAAGGCCAGTTGACTGGAAAAGAGCACTCCCTCTCAAGTTGAGTTGTAGATGTTGAACAAACACAGCTTGTGACTCAATCCTTCGAAGCTTGTTCTTGGAAGAGCTTTCGTGAGTATATCTGCCACTTGAGATTGTGTAGGGGTATAGATCAATTGTATTATTGAGTTGTTAATCTTCTCTGAGATAAAATGACGATCAATCTCAATGTGCTTAGTTCTGTCATGGTGTACCGGATTCTTGGTGATGCATATAGTTGCTTGATTGTCACAGAAAAGCTTGATCGGTTTCTCACTTGTTATCCCCAATTCCTTGAGTAGTCTCCTTATCCACATTCCTTCACAAATGCCAAGGGCCAATGCTCTAAACTCAGCTTCTGCGCTGCTCCTTGAGACTACTGGTTGTTTCTTGCTCCTCCATGTGACTAGATTCCCATAAACATATGCACAATAACCAGTTGTTGATCTTCTGTCCTTTACATCTCCTGTCCAGTCTGCATTTGAGTAGATCTCAATATCCTGGTGTCATTTTTAAGTACCTCAAGATTCTATACACAGCTTCCATGTGTTCTTTTGTAGGATTGTGCATGAACTGACTTACTACACTAACTGGAAAGCCGATGTCCGGTCTTGTGTGAGAGAGGTAGATAAGCCGTCCTACGAGTCTTTGGTATCTCCCCCTATCAACTGGTGCAGACTCTAAAATTCTTTGCTTGGATCGAGCTACCTCCATTCCGAGAAAATACCTGAGATTGTCAAGATCTTTGATTTCAAATTCCTTGGCTAGAACTGCTTTCACTCTCACTAATTCCTCCTCATAGTCACCTGTCAGAATGATGTCATCGACATATACAATTAAGACTGCCACTTTGTTTTCTGAGGAGAACTTCACGAACAGTGTATGATCTGCCTAACATTGAGTGAATCCATATCTCACAACTGACTTTGCAAACCTGTCAAACCATGCACGAGGAGATTGTTTAAGTCCATACAAAGACTTCTTGAGTTTGCACACTTTGTTGTTTTCCACGGTTGCTTCCAGTCCTGGAGGTATTTCCATGTACACATCTTCTTCAAGGTCACCATTCAAAAATGCATTTTTTACATCCAGTTGATGTAGAGGCCAGTCCTTGTTTGTTGCAAGTGAAAGGACTCTAATAGTGTTTAGTTTGGCCACCGGAGCAAAAGTTTCCTGATAATCTATTCTATAAGACTGAGTGAACCCTTTAGCAACTAGTTGAGCTTTTAGTCTCTCAATACTACCATCAGCCTTGTGTTTGATAGTAAAAATCCACTTACATCCGACGGTCTTCTTATCTGGGGGAAGATCTATCAACACCCATGTGTTATTTTTCTCCAATGCTTGGATTTCATCATTAACTGTCTTCCTCCATTCTGTGTGTTTGAGAGCCTCCTGAATAGAATTGGGAACATGCATACTATCAAGAGTAGACACGAAGGCCTTGTATGATGGTGATAGTTTCACATATGAGACAAATTGGCTAATAGGATGATTCGTGCAAGTTCTGACACCTTTCCTCAAGGCAATTGGAACATCTAAATTCTCCATAGCAGGTATTGTAATATCTAAATTATCCTTACCCAAGTGAACTTGTGTAGGCATTGAATCCGGATCAGCTTCATGGTCTAGTGTGCGAGTCAATATTTGAGTACATCTCCCTTACTGCCTCCCATATTTCCTTGGTTGTCGACAGAAACATATGAGGTTTTCCAATGGCTGGTTCCATTGAGTTAATTAACCAGGCCATGACTAGGGAGTTCTCAAACCTCCAAGTTGCCATATTCCGATCACCTGCAACCGGCCTAGTAATTTCTCCAATCAAATAACTGAGTTTACCTCTACCATCAATAGCAAGTTTCGCCGATTGAGCCCACTCTAGGTAGTTCCGGCCATTTAATTTATGGCTGGTCAATTGGAAGGACACGTTTGGACTGAAGAATTCGGCACTGTTCTTTGATCTGCCATTAGCCGCTGGCCCTCTTGCTCCTGATTGCACATTCTCAATTGAAGTCCCACCACTCGTAGCGCTCGAGCCATCACCAGCAGTGGAGGAATCCCTTTTCTGGCCGGTCATTGCCAGTCTATAATTCATTTAGGTTGCAGAAAAAAAAAATTTTGACAGAAAGGGGTGAACGGTTGTAGGAGGAAGGAAGGAAAAAAAAATTCAAGGAAAGAGCCGAGGCTCTGATACCATGTAAGAATTAAGCAAGGAGAAGAATAATCTTTATTCTTTCTGTCTTATTTCAGAGAAAAATGTACAAGGATTATATAGGCCAAGGAGGCCGAATTTCTTCCCTAAACTAAGGAACAAAATCTATAAAAATAAGGAAACAGAAAAGTCAACTATCCTCTAATATTTTTCCTTTCCTAATATCCGGGGTACATTTAATCATACCCGGATTACACTTATTTCTTATTCTAATCCCTAATTTACCGACACTTTTCATGGTTTGATTTCCAAGCTGGGAATGGAAGATATCTATTCTTCAGCTTGAGGGGGAGTGTCGGATTGATACAGCTGTTGTCAAATTTAGCAATAGCTGTCATAATGTATAGTTGACAATTGAAATGTATATATTTAGGAGAATTAGGATTCTTTCCTAAGATAGGATATTTCCCTAGAATAGAAATCAATTAATATATGTAATTAGGCAGAGTTTCCTTTTTTTGTTTATCAAATCAGTCTATATAAGAATGTAACCACTGATTGGAATAATACACAGAAAAAACCATTTCTCTTTCTTTCTGCGTTAGTGTCAACAAAGATGTATGTCAATAAATCCATTCACAAAAACTAAAACATGGGCTTTGGAGTGGACATCGGAGCACGACAACTCTGTGTTCACCCTGAAATATGTAGAAGTGGCTTCTCCATTCTTTCTTGGTGTTTCACAGTTTTTTTTTCTTTTTTTTTTTTTTTACCAGTGGATTCCGAAGATGATAATGATTTTGAAGAACCTTCTAAAGGTAATGATGAGGGAGAGGACACTTTTATGCGATCTTATTCCGACATTTTGAATGAAGAATTGAATACCACAACACTTGGGAAAAGTTTTGTTCGTGCTAAGGAACAAACCACTCAACAAGATGAGGTAATACTTCTTATCTTTGTTGGGGGTACTTGATATATTTCTATATTGAAATTCTCAGGACTTATCTGTCCAGAAATAAGTTGTCTACTGCTCTATTTAAAACCAAAATGATAAACGTTTGCATGATTGATAGGAGAAATCATGCATAATCTTCCAAATGGGTTTCTGTTTTTTCCTTAATGAACTCCAAATTTGTGCCTGGCTTTAAAAGGTTGGGGCTTGTTGTACAGCTTCTTTATTAACGTTTGTCTGTTGATTTGAAATGTCATACTGATTGAATATATGCTTGTAGGAAACATCATCAAATACCACAGCAGCCATGGATGAGGATTTTACTCCCGTCGATGCTGATGTGAACCTCGTCAAAAGCTTTCTCGATTCCTTCTCCTCCCAAGAAGGTCTCCCTGGTCCTGCTTCGAATTTGCTAGGGCTTATGGGTTTACAACTACGAGATGCCAACAAGGGCAAGTGATGAATGGAGATATCTTTTGGGTGGTTATTTGCTGAAAAAAAAAACCTCGGTTATCCCACTTACTGTATGGTGTGAATGGCATGCTGGGGATTGTACATGTTTTTTTCTTGGAGTGTTTCTTGAAGAAGGTTAAATTTACCAAGTGGAGGGTAGATAGTTTCAGCAATAGAGGGAGAACAGGATATGTATAGGATTTTATGATTTTAACCTTCTTTGTTTGGTGAAAATTAAGATTTTAAAGGAAAAAAGATGAGTATTTGTACCATCTCGATCGGTTTGGTTTTGAAGAGACGAAGAGGGTAATTTCTGAAAACGTAGATTAATAAGCTTACAAAAAGTCTTTACAATATTTTTGCTTTAAGGACTCAGAGAGCCAAGTTTTTCCAAGAAACAGACGAGTCACTTGATCACTTACTGTCTCTTTCCCCAAAAAGGATTTGTGGGAGAAATCGTTGATGGTTAGCCAATTGGAATGTCGCAATGGTTTTCTTGTTTTGTCTATATAGTATCTCTCACGTAATTAGTAAGATTCCATCTTGAATGTTGCAATTTTTTTTTTTTTTAAAGTCCAATAAAAGGGATCTGTGGCAGTTGCAGAATTAGGAAAATAATGTTTTATCAGTGATAAATAATGGTATATCAGTTTATTACTGATTGATTTCATGGTATATCACTATAATATGAAACAAGTTTAGATATATTATGAGTTTTATATTACTTTATGGTTATGTTTTTTATTTTAATCTTAAATTAGGATAATATTTATCTTGTAGGATTATTTTTAATTGTTTTTAATTTTTAATTCTAATTTAGTTTATCTTTTAGGTTCTAAATACATTAGTGATTGTAATTTAATTCAGAAACTTTTATGATTGATTAATGATATTGAGTTTTTAGTTTCGTGCTTTTCTCAAGTTTTTCCGGCTCGAGTTCTTGTTCTCCTTTTATTTCTATTTTTTCTCTTCATTCTATTCTTCTCTCTAAATTTTATCTCTGTTCTAAAATTTGTCTTCGTCACACAGCCAGAGACGACGAAGACAACATGGGCTTGAGCGCCCCCCCTCAACTCTTGTTTTTCCTGTTTTTACTTATATAAATTCATATGAATATAAATATAAATTTATAAAAAGCCCCCCTTAGAATTTTAAAACCAACTGTTATATCCTTAAAATTTAAGAAAAAGACATCTATCAACAATAATCATAAGCATTTTGAATCATCTTGTTTCAATTTGTAATCTTCTTGCCCTTTATGTTAATTTTTTCTCATTTATTTTTTTGCCTTTTTTTATTTGATTAAATTATAGTAGGATAGTTTATAGTTCAAATTTTCAAGGGATTTGAGTATAATCATTATTATTTTGAGAACAGGATTTGATTAGGGCCTTCTTTTTTGGTAAACTACAGGATTTGCTTCTTTGAAAAATATCGTTTATCCATTAGTTTATCAGATTTTGACATTAATATTAATTTTACCAGTTGTTGCTGCTACTATTGAGAGTAGAAGATTTAGTCCCGTTTATTTTATCGATTTAAATTTAGAATTTGAGTTTTATTAAATTAAAAAGTTATCAGAAATAGTCACATTTAATTTTTTTACTACAATAAAAAATTTTCACATAAAATCACATTTCAACTCGAATTAAAAAATCGAATAACGAACTAAACGGGTCCTTAACTGCAATTGAATGGAGATCAGTTGATGAGTGATATTTTACTTGAGTAGATTGAGAAAGACATTTTCAAATATCATTGATAAAGAGACTATTGTGCAACATAGGCATGAAAACCCACGGGGATAATTGTAATACATTCACAATGAGTTTAATTACAATTTTATTATAGTTATTAGTCCACTCTCGCCACCTGCCCCCTTCCCCCCTCAAATTCCTGCTTCGGCATGGCCTTCTGCACACTGATTGACCAACATCATTTAATAATAAACTAATTTCAATCCAGAATTTATTAATTTATTAATGATAAAGTATTAGTAAATAAATGATAAATTGGTTTATAACCATGGTGTATTATCAGTTATAAATTATGTTTAGGGCTGGTAATTTTAGACATAACACAATAAAACGATATGAGATAAATGAGTTTAGATCGCAATTGGGTCGTTAACAGGCCGACACAAATAACACAAAAATAAATAGGTTGGATTCATGACAACTCGTTTAACACGCTTAATCCGTTTAGTTATACGGGTCGTTAATAGACCAACACGACCTGACACGGCTGATCGTTTATAACCCATATACAAAAATAAAAAATTTATAAAAAATTAAAAAAGACATTCAACTTTATGATATTTATAAAAAGACATCTATGAATAGGTTAAAATAACTGGAAACTAATTTTGAGACGTAGTTGGGCATTCAACCTTAAAGTAGACATTTTTCTATATTTATTTTATGTTTTATGCACTTAAGCATTTAAATGTTTAGTTATGTTTTCAAACTTATTTAGATGTACTCGGTTATGTTTTGAAACTTTTTTGAATGTTTGGTAATTGGTTATGTTTTGAAACATATATATAATAATCTAATAGTATCATATATATATATATATATATATGTGTGTGTGTGTGTTTGATATTTAAATATTTTTATGTGTATCGGCTATTATGGAAAATTAGATGATTTATGTTTTTCTTATTATATGCTCGTCAGATTTTAATTATAAGTGATATTAAGTAATCAATTAATATTAATTTTAAAGACAATATAAAATTTTACTATTTTTACTAGTTGGATCATAAATGTATTTTTTTTTATTATGTCGATTTATTACGGTCCGTTTAGTAATTATATTCGCGTGTCGTGTCACGTTAATTGTGTTATTAATATTTTGTGTTCATATTTACATTTTTAATACGTTTATTAATCAATGTCGTGTCATAATCGCGTTGGATACGCAAACACGAATTGCGATTAGCTGCAGCAGTGATTGGCCACCTAATTTCACATGTATTTTCAAAAGTCAAATCACAGTGGATGGCCGTGATCTTTTCCCTGGGAACGCATCTTTGATCTGGTGGGGTCCATTGTCCAACGTTGATCCATTCGTAGGTTCAGGTTCGGTAGCACTGGCCGTGCATAAATCGAAAGAAAAAGTCTCGTCGTCCTTCCGTAATTGCCACTCACACAGATCTCTATGCCCTTTTTTTACTTTTTTTTTTCTTTTTTGAAGAGAAGAAATCTCTGTTTCTTCCAAGCCACAATGTTTTTTTCACAAACCCAAAAAAAAAAAAAAAAAAAAAAAAAAAAAAAAAATCAAATCGAATCTCGCCGTTGGCTTGGACCGACGAAACTCATCCAACGATTTAAAGCCATTCACTTGGATCATCATCATCTTCTTCTTGTTTTCCTCTGCAACCTCACGCTTACAGTTATATGCACCAACCATCAGATTCCATTCCACCACCCAGAAAAAAAGGAAAAAAAAAAAAAATAACGAGGGATAGATACACTGTATTTTTATATTTGCCTATTGCTTGACAAAAGATACTATTATTTTCTTTCCATTATTTGACTGAAAACTTTCTTTCTTGGCTGTTGAAGAAGAAGAAGAAGAAGAAGAAGAAGAATATGATTTCAAAGACGATTGATTTGCTACAAGAGGAGCTTCCCGTGAAAGACGAGCCCTTTTCGCTTTCCGGGGATGTTAAGACCGGTCTTGTGCTCGTCGACATCGTTAATGGCTTCTGTACTGTTGGCGCAGGAAATATGGTACTTTTCTTCTACCCAATTGGAAACTTTCCATTTTAGCTTGCTTTGATTGATTCATTCTATTTGAATTTCTTTTGTTTTAGGCTCCGAGACAGCCCGATAAGCAGATATCTGAAATGGTTGATGAGTCGGTGAGACTCGCCAGAGCGTTCTGTGAGAGAAAATGGCCGGTTTTTGCTTTCATGGATTCCCATGATCCGAACATTCCCGAACATCCTTATCCCCCTCATTGTTTTGCTGGAACCGATGAAGCTAGGCTAGTTCCAGGTACAAACGAAATACCCTTTGGTGGTTTTAATATTTTGAGTTCATATTTCAGTTGAATAATTAATTGAAAAGAAATGTAAGCAAAATAAATAAATAAATAATAAAGCCTTTGATTTTATGTTAGTATTTTAAATTTCAAGTTTCATAACCTACACTGCATTTATCTTCATAATACTAATCGGTTATGATGAATCGAACTTGTCGAAGGACTTTCAACCTTTTCAGGCATTGAATGATGGTGAAAGAAAGATTTAGCGCATGTTGTAAATTTTTTTTTTTTTGTTGGGTCCCGCACGATAAAAATACCTTAAATTTCATCAATGCAAATTAGTGATGAATTTCGGCAGATGACATAGAGTTTTATTGTCCCACTTTTCGGCAGATGACAAGTAGCACCACTGGAATCTTGAGTGAATAAAGCCAAAAAGATTGGACGGTGGCTAACCATATACATCTAGAGATATTTAGTGGCAATAAATTTATGAGACTTCTTGTCAATTTTTTTTTGTCCATGTCTTTTTGTGTGCAGCCCTGCAATGGTTAGAAAATGAACCTAATGTCACGCTTAGGTGCAAAGATTGCATTGATGGGTTTCTTGGATCGATTGAGAAGGATGGCTCTAATGTGTTTGTTGATTGGATCAAGAATAATCAGATCAAAGCGGTAAGCATGTATTGAACTCACTATGTAGTGTTTACTGCTTCTTGTTGCACAATTTTCTGGCTTATGCTATTTCAGTCTAATATTTGCAACCCCTTTTGTTCATTTTGAAGATTTTGGTCGTAGGGATATGTACAGACATATGCGTGCTAGATTTCATATGCTCTGCGTCATCAGTGAGAAATCGTCGATTACTTGCTCCTCTGGAGGACGTGATTGTGTACTCCGGGGGTTGTGCCACTTATGATATCCCGGTTCATGTTGCAAGAGCTGCCAAAGATGTTATAGCCCATCCTCAGGTACGTTGATTGATCAAAATGTCTTGTTTCATATATGGAGTACGTATTTATTAGCAGTGTTGAAGTTGAGTTCACAATATGGTATACGAACTTTACACTAACAGTTTACAAGACCCCAAATCTTTTATACTTGATTATTGCATGACATACTTCGCACTACACACTACATCATAAAACTTGGGGATCGCAATCAATTTCCTATAAGATTGAAAGCTTCAATGCTTTTATTAAGACGAACTGCTCATATTAAGTTCATGTCCGTCAAATGTGAAAAAGATGAGGCATTGTATTTTATTTTGATACAAGTATGCAAATGCATTTTTTCGGACAGAAATTTCAATCCCGAACGAACTTGTTGTGGCTGCTATATTGGCTAGGTTAGTTTCGAAGCAATCGATGAAGATATGGCTGGATCCTTTTATAACCAAGCTAATAATAGTAAAATATGTATTATATAAGCTATACTTAAATTAAATTGGTCTATCTAGTAAGAGAAAGATGATCTAGCGTTGAAAGCATAAATATATAGACATGGGGTGAGGATTGACATAAATTGACAAGTACAGTTTGTCCCGAGTTAATACCAGCAGTTTCAAATGCCAAGAATAAACAGTGTATTTTCTAATTTGTTCTCCTTTGTAGTTCTTGTTTGTCAATAACAGTGATTTCTTGGAGTTTTTATTCATGTGTTTGAAAAATCAACCTTTTTCCTTGACTCTTGTGTTTCATGGCAGAATCTGATGCATCACATAGGCCTTTACATGGCTCAAGGAAGGGGGGCAAAGGTGGTGTCAGAAGTGTCGTTTGTTGAAAGAGAACCATAAAGAAAGACTCGAGGATTCCACACCCCCCAACTTCTTTAAATAATAGAACTTTCTGATAATCTGAGATGTAAAGTTTGAAGAGAAGAAGTGGATAAAAAGCTTGGATTTGCATGTTCTTGCGAACTTCCAAAGAGGCGTTGGTATATAATGTAGCATAACGTACAAAAGAAGAAAGATAAATTTTAAGTTCACGTTCTTTGTTTAAAAAATTCAAAAAAAAAACAACTCAAGTTTTAACTTTATTCAAGTTCACGTTCTTTTAAGTTTTAACTTTATTTAATTTTACTCAACTTTATTCAAGTTCTAACTTTAACTCAAGTTATAACTCAAATTCAACTCAAAAATTACACTCAAATTACTCTAAAAGAACAACCCATAATATTCACTATTTTTTTAGGAGAGGAATTACTATTTACTATTTAATTCTTTGAAAAGAAATATCACAATCCATCAAAGATTTTGACACTTTGAGGTATGGTTGTTCATTGGTCTCAAACAGGCGGTTTTCATCTCTTCATTGATAAAAACTGACAAAATCGATTCTCACAAAGGAGAACTGATTGCCAAATTGATCATGGTAGGAATCAAACAAATTCTAGTCCGTTTTAAGCCGCAAGTTCTTGATTTAATTTTTGTTTAAGCTTTTTAAATTATATTTTATTAAAATGTTTTAACTATTTGCATAATCAAAATAAAAAAGGGGTTTCTGACACGACACTTAGCGTTTGGTTGATAGATTCGTGACATGATTCGAATTATGGTTCGTTGTTCGCTACAGTATTTTCCCTCACAAAAAATACACGTAAATCGAGAATAATTTTGAATCCATCAACTAAATGTTTACAGAACAAAATAAAAAATAGTCGATTGAGACTTTCGTGTAAAGGTGAAAGGAAACTGGAGTGCTTTATATGGTCTCATTCGTTTCGCTAATTCGAGTTTAAAATTCGAGTTAAGATGTGATTTTATGTGAGAGTTTTTTACTGTAGGAAAAAAGTTAGATGTGACTGTTTTTGAGAGCTTTTTACTGTAGTAAAACTCGAATCAGCGAAACGAATGAGGCTATAGAGTTGTTGAGCAAATAAATTTTCTTTTCTTTCTGATATAAAAGTCAAATTTGTTTTTTTTTAAATCTTAAAATCGTTATAACTAAATGTATTTTCTTATCCTCTTTTTGTTTCGTTTTTTTTTACCTTCTGTCTGTAGCTTTTTAATGTCTGTTGCTGATATGAAATGTATTGGTTTGCTGTGGTGTCTGTTGTTTGTGTTTTATTATTTTTGTTCATATATGGTTTTGTTATGTTATTAATGGATGCTACTAATGTATACTGCTTACGAAAATTCTCTTTTGTTGTTAATAAATGTTAGTGATCTATGTCTATTTTTTTTTTGTGCTTCATTAGTAAATATTGTTGAGATATTAACTTTTTGTTTTTTTTTTTTTTTTTTTTTCTTAGTGATGTATATACATATCTTTATTTCACACATTTTAGTTTTATTTGATTTTTTTATGTGGCGATGATAATTATAATTAATTTTAAAGGAAAGAGATTATATGAGAGGATCCTATCCAAATTTTTCTTTTGCTAGGCCCATAGCTAAAAAACTGATATTATATGTTAGTTCATGGTTGTTGAATGTTGACCTTTGTTTTAATTCTTATTTGTAACATGTTATATACCTCCTCCATGAACAATGATGCTTGTAGAGATGAGACAATATCCAACTTCGTTATGCTACAATAGTGTATTTGCATTTTTAATAGATACAAAAAAATAGATATTTGCATTTCTTAGATTATAAGAAACAACATTATGAGAAAAGTTTTATGAGAATAATTTTCAGTAGTTGATCCGCAAAACTTATTTGTTTATATAGTATGTTTTCTTTTTTATTTTCATTACATATAATTAAAGATTTTTATAAGTAACATATTATATAGATATATCTACGAGTGTGAGATCCGCGCGTTGCCGTGGAATGTAGTATAACGCAATGCTAGTTATAATGAAAATATATTAATATATATACATATATTATATAGTATTGTATTATATGATAAATATAAAATTTGTACAAACATATTTATACAGACATATATAGTATTTTTTTTAATATTTATATATATACATAATGTACAGGATAAAGAACGATGTCGTTGTTGTTCCTGAGCAGTTCATTTTTATCAGCTGCAAGTATTAGAAAGGGGAAAAAGAGTTGTAAATATAAGCACTAATAGAAATAAAGGCGTTTAAAATATAAATTATGAAATAAATAGTATAAAAATATTTATAATACCTTGTTCTTGGGCGTTTTGTAGATTGTCTTGTTGTTCTTGATGCAGGACTGGAAAAATGGAATAATCTGTAGCTATGTTTTTAAATAAATTGATAATATTTGTTAGGTTGAATGTGGTTTACCTTGTGCTAGGTTTTTTTTGGTGTTGGAGTGTGTGGATCAAGTCTGGTTGGTGTCGATAGTTGTGATGATGGTATTGCCTGTGGGCTGAAAGATGAAAACATTTTTAAAACTGTGGTTAATATAATATCAATGTTATTTATGTATAGTTGGTAAAAAAAATTTGAAAGCATTATTTACCTTTGTGGTTCGTCTGTTCCTGCAGTTAACTGTTTTGGTGGCGATGGTGGAACATGAATGTCTTCAAATATTTTGGAAATTAAAGTACTCATCTGGGTGCCACGTTGTTGAAAGAAGAGTTGGAAGATTTTTTATTGTCCTCAGATCTGATCGATAGCTGGTGGTATTATAAATGGATCAGTAAAGCCTTCATCAATTGTTAATGCAGAACATGGTTTTTTTATTAATGCCTGAGCGGTTCTGCCAAAAGCGATAACTTCCATGTCTCCAGTATGATCTTCAATTTGAATTGTTAATCTGTACCTGTAACGTATATACATATATATATTTTAAATGTTATTATTTTTTTGATAAAGTAAAAAAATATATATAATAAATAAAAATGATGTGGTAATAAATTTAATTACCATGGAGACGGTGTTGACTTTATATGGCCATGACTGTCGCACCACCAACCTATTCTTGCCTGTTTCAACTGTCGATAACATATGGGGCAAGAATTATAGAACCATCCTTGGGATGTTGGAAAATTTACTATGGTCGCTCTTACAGTGAATTTTTCACCCTGCATAAAATATATAATTTTGTGGTTTAAAATGTTGAATAAATGTAGTAAAAAATTAATAAAAAATTAATAGTACTAACCAGATTATTCTGTGTATCTAATGTTTTAAGTTCATCTATTGTTCTTCTATTTGCTGACATTTGTTCTTCAATTATTTGGATGGGCGTTTTTAGTGGTGGTAGGAATTCAATTTGTTAATTTTGGTGGGAAAATCTGTATATATGAAAATACGAATAAGTTAAGGAAGATATAAATAAAATGTATAAATATCTAATATCATAAATTTATCAGAATATATTTTTTATTACATATGTGTTTACCTTGTCTTTAACGTTGTTGTTTCTGGGATGTCTGGATCAATATAGAAGATTGTTGCTGATGTACTCGAAACATATGAGTTACCTTGAAATATAATAGAGTAAATAATAAAAAAAAATGCAATGTTTTTTATATATGTATGTAAAAACATCGTAATAAAATATTGGTAAAAATACCTAAATACTGCTTTGTTAACATTGCTGAGAAAACTGCCACAACTGGTGCCTTCATTGTTTTGACCACATTTTCATCAAATTGATCCGCTTTATGTCCCCATAGGCTGACCGATAGTTGTTCATTTCTGTAAAGAAAATGTTATTTATAAAAATGAGTAATAAAATTGAATGATAAAAGAGGAAAAATACTATATTCATGTCAAATGGTTGTAATCAATGGTAAATGTCAGGGGAAAAAGTTTAAAATTACTATACCTGATGTTTTGTATTGTTATGGCTCGCCGCGTTGTTGGTCTGGTGGTGACATGTGTATGTTCAAGTGCCTGGACACTTGTTACTACTCCAATAACATCTAATATTATATATGAACAGGGAAATTTTGTAAATAAATATTAAAAGAATATTTATAATAATAATAAAGTAAGTTAAGCAAAATATATTACCTGTTAATATCTCAGTATTATTTATTCTTTGATATAGCTGGTCAAATTTTATGAAATAGAATTTGTGAAATGGGATGTGTGGTGCGTCTTCCATAATTGGAGTAAAGGATGTTGCTCGTGCAAATTAGATCATAGCACTGTGTGGAACAACTTTGTATACTGATTTATTTTCAGTAACATAGAAGTTACTAATATTGTATATATTGCCTTGTTCAATTTTTTGAGAAATATAGTCCGAATCTCGTGCTCGAATTGTTCCCTGTATTGCTTCATGATGTAAATAAATAATAAGAATAGGAATTTAATCAATATTAACAAATGTTATATAAAAGAAAATGTAATATAATATTTTAAAATTTTAGTACCTCTTCATCAACCAGGATACAGTCAAGACTTATCAGGCGTCCTGTGACAAAATCGTTGTTTGTCCATATTCTGCAAACTCGTGCCTGTATTGTTTCATACACTTCATTTGGTTTCAGTGCACGAATAGGTGTAGTCATTTTTTTTAACCCTGAAAAAAGCAAATAAGATGTTGTTATAACGATTTATATTTTTATTGAGTTTATTGTTAAAAATATTGGACTAAAAAAATTTTAATATTATGAAGAATACAAAATGATATATATTTTGTATGTATTTATTTATATGATGTTATGTAGGATTTCTTTGTAGACAATATTTTTTATATGATTAGGATAGTTGTTGTTTGAATCATTGAGTAATATATATAATCCTTTTGGATTAGTAACTCTAGATAAAGCAACATATAACTGACCATGGCTAAATATTTGATTATCTAAAAATAGTCCAACTTTATTCAAAGATTGTCCCTGACTTTTATTTATTGTCATAGCGTAACATATTTTTACAGGGAATTGGCGTATTTTTAAAGTAAATGGCCATTTTGATTCATGTATAGTCATTTCTATTATTGGAATATAAACTTTTTCGAAAATATTATTTGAAGTTATGATCTGTCCTTCGATTACTTTATTTGTTAATTGTGTTATGATAAGCCTTGTTCCATTGCAAAGTCCAGCAGATTGATTTAGATTTTTTAGAAGCATTATTGGAGTTCCAAGTT